CCTCCTAAACTAAGCACAATTAATAATTTCAACAGGGAAAACATACCTCACCGCTACTGCTCTGGTTTGCTGTTGTTGGGGAGTTAGGAGGAGCTTACCGCTCAGTCACCTCTGAAATTACCTCACTGCTCGACGACGACAATAATTTGGAGTAGCTAGCTGCTCTGCCACTAGGTAAGCAAATTCAAGCAAATTAGAGACGGGGTATTCGCAGTCGCTGCTAATAGGGGTGTTCAAATGGTTACCATAGTAATAACCAAACCAATTAAGCCTAAATTTCGTTAACATGGAATAAAATGTCTTAACCAAACCGTCCAAATTAACAAGAAAACAAAATTAACCAAACCAAAGTTTAATTGGTTTGGTTAATTGGATAATCGGATTAACCAATAATTAACAACATTGCATGTAAAATAATTATCCTGTTAATGAATAAAACATACCCATATGTTATTACTATCATAAACTATCATTATATATAAGCAATAATAATAATACTAACCATCCATGATTATCATCATCATTCGAGTTGATACATCATTCATCATCTTTGCACCTAATATAGTTAGCTTACAACAAACCTTTAACATAAATATTAAATACATACCAATACCACTCATCAGGAAGTTAAAGCTCCCATACAAAACACTTAAACTATACATAGTTTGAGGTGGTCGTCATGGTATTTTAAGCAATCCTAAAGTCTAGTAGTTGTCCAAAATGTTTTGGTTTAGTAAATAGGCAACCCATTTAATTTTTGAATCATAATGCTTTGGTTTGTTGTGCACATGGAAATAAAATAGGAAATCACGAAAGTTTGGTTTGGTTGGTTGCATGGAAGTATAAATAATTTTGTATATTAGATGTATCATTAATTGGTTAATTGGTTTCATTGGTTAGCAATGTTGAAACCAAACCAAACCACCTAAGCCAAATAAACTAAATTGTTTAACCAAACCAAACCAATTATCCAAATTAACCAAACCAAATTAACCGAATGATATCAATTAATATGATTAACACGGTAACCAATCCGTTCGAACACCTAGCTGCTAAGCAAATTCAGCGGGTCTGGGAGTTAAGCAAATTCAAAGAACGCATTTTGATATTTGAATTTCCAAAAGTATTTACACAAGTTTCTCTATATAATAGTTTGTCCTCTTGCTCTATATAGTACTCTATTATTATTCTTCACTGAACTCTGTAAATGCCTATGCAATGCAATTTTCAACGTGATTTATTTTCAACTTTTAATAAGGGCTAAATTACACGTTTGGTCACTCAAATTATACAATTTTTTTACGTTTGCCACCCGAATTACTTTTGTTTCTTATTCGCCACTAACTTTACGAATCATTTCACCTTTAGTCACCGGCTGTTACACTCCGTTAAATTTGTCCTACGTAGCAGTCAACTATTAAGTTTGACCATTAACTTGATGACGTGGAAATAAAAAATAAAAAATTTATTTTCCACCTCATTATCCCACATACTTTATCTAAATACTTTTTCCTATTAATTATTTAATAAAAATAATTAAATTACAAAATCCACTTACCATCCAAGTCCCAACCTTCTTCAATTCCCCTCTTTACACCCTTCTGCGGAACCCAACCATCCCCTGCAATCCCCAAAAAATTGAAATTAGTCCCCTCTTCCGAACCTTTCGCCAACCCTACACCACCATCCCTCTGCAAAACAAATCTCCAATTCTTCTTCCCCATTTTACCTTGCTCTCCTCGTGGCTGATTCTCGTCAGTATACTCCAACCCAAAAAAGTAATCCGGCATCTCGGAGACTATGGAAGACACCTCGTACCTTCTCTGCTCTAGTGACCGATAGGAACTTAGCTCACCGAAGAACTAGTGCTCCCGATTCGTCGACCCGTCGAGAAGCGAGCTGATGCTGTTGGTTCTCGAACCCCATGATAACTCGGCTAACCTGACGCTGGAAGAGAGGTGTTGGGGAAGGAGAACGCTCTGATGAGATAGGGATCCGGCTGAGGGAGACGGGCGGCGCGGAATCGGAGATCGCAGACGGCGGAGGCGATGGCTTCTAGATGCGGCGGCGGAGGGGTCGGCAGCGAGGAGTTGCCGCCGGCTGAGGAGGATGGCGGCGAGGTGAGAGGAGAGTTGTATGTGACGCCGATGGAGCGGAGAAAGCTGTGCGGGTGGGTGGGTGAAAATTAATTTTTGTAATTTAATTAAATAATTAATATGAAAAGTCCTTAGATAAAGGATGTGGGATAATGAGGTGGAAAATAAAGTTATTTTTTTATTTCCACGTCATTAAGTTAACGGTTAAACTTAATAGTTGACAGCCATCTAGGACAAATTTAACGGAGTGTAACGGCCAGTGACTAACGGTGAAACGATTCGTAAAGTTAGTGGTGAATAAGAAAGAAAACTAATTCAGGTGGCAAACATGAAAGATCTATATAATTTAAGTGACCAAACGTGTAATTTAGCCTTTTAATAAAGTTTAGGCGATTAGTCTATACTCTTATATATTTGGGAACTTCAAATGAGCTCTGCGTGATTAGTCTAGATATTTGGCATTAGAGATGCTTGTGATTCTACTTTTCATGAACTTGTGATTGACAACTGGACACTACTTTGCTTGTTGTTACTTGTTGCTTGTTGTTACTTGTTATATCTTAAGACTTAAGTTTTTTCCAATTTTCTATGAACTTGTGATTGATAAATGGACACTACTTGCTTGTTGTTATTTGTTATATTAAAACTTAAGTTCTTTCAATTTTCTATAAACTTATTCCAAAAAGTTGAAATTGTGAGGATTTTTTTCATTTTTGTTTCGAACATATAGGCGACGCTTAAGAGAGCTAGGAGTAGGCGCTAGGCAGGAGCCCAAAATCTAACTTACGTCTAGCGCCTTTTTGAACCTTGATTTATACTATGGTGGATAAAATGGTATTTAACCAAAATTTAGTGGGAATAACAGTTCACCAATTCCACTATCCCTAACCATGCCAAACATTATATTGGGACAAATACCACATACCAAATAACAGACATTGCGGTATGTGGTAATTATGCGATATTTAGTTCAGTTTAGTGGGACCCTCATTCGGTGACCTTAGCATTTGAGATCTCCGTTTGTCTGGCCGGTCAAGGAAGATATGCGTCTATTTGGTGGATCAAGATAATCGTTGAGTTGAGGACACGAAGTTCGTGGTCCATGTATTGAGGGGAGGATTGTTATGGGACAATCCAAGTACCACATCGGAAATATAAGGGAAGAAAATCTTATATATTAGTGTACATCCTTTTCCAATTAGTACGAGACTTTTTGGGAAGGATACCCGAAAATAAAACCATATGGGTTTAGCCCAAAGCAGACAATATCCTACTAATTGAGCTATTCGGTTTGAACCGTTACATTTATAAATAACACATTCAAACGACCTACAAAATATTTAGTTAAAAATTTTAAATTTCTCAAATCTACATATATCAAATCTCTTGTAAATGTAAAATTTTTATATCTTGATTTAATTGGTTTCTTTTTCGTATTTATCCCTTTTTTTCTTACATAACCCGCCTTTATTCATTTAAAACTGCCAAAATTAAAAAAAAAACATGTATTTGATACAGATTTACAATCAATGTGTTTCATTTATGTCAACAATTAAAACTACGAAATTGTGAAGTTTTTTAAATTTATTTAACAATCTAAAGATTATAGTCTTTAACAATTTTAAAATGTCAAAAATTGAAACTTCAGTTCTCCAAAATCTGAACCGCTAACTTGGGGCATCTGATATTTCATTTTGATGAAAGCTGGCGAAATGTTCATGGATACTACTATGAATACGGTTGTCGACCCTGTTAGTCCATTTCAATGTTCGGTTAACAAATATTAGTGTATCCCAAGATATTCTAATTACCAAATTTTTAGATTTAGAAATTAACATCCAAATTCATGAATCCAAACTTATTGGGCCTAAGTCTGAATACGGGATACGTTGTCAAGGTTCATTGGGCCAATGTCAAGTAGCCGAATGCAGTAGTAGTGTTCGCTATAGGGGCGCGATAACGGGAACCTAAAATGAACATTAGCCCTCTGTAGCTTTTCACGGTACAAAGCAAAAAATGGCGATTCCCCCATCAGCAGATCGCTAGCTCCATCGATCTACCGCAGATCAATAGATTTCGCTATTTTATAGGTAAACCTCAGTTTATAACCTTTTCCTACACTTGATCTACTTGCTGTTCTACTTTTTCCTCTTTGGGGTGGGCGAATTGAGATGGCAAAGGGTTGTGCAAAAATCCCAGCTTTGCTTGATCTGTATAATGTTTGTTTCTTCTGGGCTTCGTCCCTTTTTGGGTTCCGCCTAATCTGCAAAAGTTCCCCACCTAACAATGAGAGCTTCATTTCAATGCTTCTATGGGGTTTGATTTGGCTTCCTATTTTGTACCGTACCCAACAGAACCAAAAAGAAAAGGAAGTTTACTTGCTCATGTTGTGTTTTTGCTTGCCCCAATTGCACCCTCTCCCTCTGTTTTGGCGTTGTTGTGTAGGTGGGGATGAAAATTTCATGCTTGATTTGATTTGGGAAATGGAAACTCTATAGGGGTCTTGAGGGAGAAGTGAGTACTGTAGTTGGGAGATTAGACATGTTTTATTCTTACTATTCTTCCTTTGTTAGTTATAGTTATTCTCAATTTTAACTTGTCTGTGTCTTTGTTTAGCATATTTGGTGCTTGACCTTTGCATCACTTTTCTCTCGATATTTGCTAGTGTCCTGGGTCACTTCAGTACTTGTAAGTCACCATCTGCACCATTAATATCTTCAACTATCATAAGTGATATAGTCTTCAATGTATTTGGATTGTTTGATGCAAGATTATGAAATGAGTGTGTATATATTTCTTTGGATGTCTGATGTTGTATGTCGTCAAGAATTTAGTTTTACTTGCAAAAATCATTGCACAATGATGAACCGTACCATAAAACTGCATTATGTTTGGCATGGTTAGATGGATAGGGAAGCTCAAGGTTCCAACGAGGTTGAGAAGTCTTTATCAGATGAGGATATAATGAGTCATGACTTGGAAGATATCCTAGATATTCACGGTACAGAGCTAGATTCGTGGAGAAGTATCATGGAAAATTGGCAAAGACAAAGAAATATGTGTGTTGTTCAACTCATTTGCTATGTTGTATACACGCTGCATTTATTGAACAATCATATGCGTGTGGAGACAACTTTGAGTCAACCTCTTGTGCTTCGAGAGGCAAAGAGAAAAATCTTAATGAAGGACTTACGTGACCATGAAGCAACTTGTCGGGCCACATTGCGTATGGGAATAGATGCTTTTGATATTTTCTGTCAAAAGTTACGGTTGACTGGCGTTTTGAAGGATTATAATCGTGCCACAGTTGAGGAGCAAGTAGCAAGATTTTTGGCTATTCTTTCACAAACTGGTGGAAAGTATCGTAATCTGGCACTATATTATCACCGAAGTATTGGAACAATTAGTTATCATTTTCACAATGTCTTGAGAGCTGTGATAAGTCTAGCGCCAGAATTTTTGAGCCAACCCAATGCTGCACCAGTTCCATCCAAAATCAAAGACAACCTTAGATTCTTTCCCTACTTCAAGGTAATTACATTTCAACCTTGCCGTACATTTATCACTTGTATATGAATCAATACTTAAAAGCATATATACATATATATACACAGGATTGCATTGGGGCGGTTGGTGGAAGTCATTTTCGTGTCAAAGTGCATCGCGATAACCAAACTCGTTTTCGTGGTTGCAAAGAATGGCCCACACAGAATGTTTTAGCGACATGTAACTTTGACTTGCAGTTCACATATGTGTTAGCTGGATGGGAAGGAACTGCTTCCGATTCAAGAATTATCAAAAATGCATTTGCTAGACCACATGGGCTCGTAATTCCAGAAGGTATGTTCGTGATGCTTATTCATCTTTTATTTTGTCCCAAAGGTAGTCACATCATAAATATTTTATGAATAATGATCTTCTGATAATTTATAGGAAAATACTATCTCGGAGATGGTGGACTTATGTTACGTGGATCATTATTGACACCGTATAGGCATGTCCGTTACCACTTAAAGGAATCTTCTCGGGATGGTCCTAAAAATGCTAAAGAATTGTTTAATCATCGACATGCTTCTTTACGAAACAGCATTGACCGAGCATTTGGGGTGGTGACAAAGAGATTTCCTATTATTGGTACTGGAAGTGAACCTCAGTATTCATTTGACACAACGACCGATATTATCTTGGCTTGTTGCATCATCCACAATTTTCTTATGGGGTTAGATCCGGATGAGGCATTGATAGCAGAAGTTGACAAAGAGTTAGCGGCACAATCGGGGCATAATGATACACAATGTGAAGAAGAATCAAGAGCTGGAATAGAACTACGCGACAATATAGCAGAACAAATGTGGCTTGATTACGAGAAGTGAATCAGATGTGGTTTTATTTTGTTACTATTGTTGTTAGTGCTCGATCTAGATGGTATTATTGTGTTTATTAATCTTGTTTACATGACAAATGTGGTTTCATGTTGCACTGTTATGTTATGTATAAATGTTACTGCTAACATAATGTGTTTTCATAGGTAAAATGATCCCTAAGAAGGGAAAGGAAGTGGCTGATGGACCGACCAGGGAGAATGTTGTTTGGACGGAAGAAATGGATAATGAGTTGCTGGATTGCTTACTTACTGAGCAGCGCAAGGGAAATAGACAGGAGGGGCAGTTCACCACGCATGCTTTGACTAATGTCGTTTATGCATTGCGGACTAAGTTCCCCAGCATAAGACTTGACAAGGACAAGGTTAAGAATAGACAAAGGACATTAAAAAAACACTTTGCAGATGTTAAAGACCTCTTCCATAACATGAGTGGGTTTGCGTGGAATCCTGAAACCAAGCTTTTTGAAGCTGAACGTGAAGTGTGGGAGCGTCTATGTGAGGTATTTTCCTTGAAAATTCAACTTCTATCCTATGTAATGTTATCATAATTCTTAGATATAGCTTTGTTCCAATGTAGGAAAAGCCAAATGCTAAGCAATGGATCAGGAAACCAATTAACAACTATGATAAGTTGTTCGAGTTATATGGTGAACATAGAGCAATGGGAAATGGAGCTAGCAGTGCTTTTGAGAGACTTGACACTTGGAATATGCAGAATCCAACATCTGACATTAACTTGGTCGATCTTTCTGAAAACCCGGAGGATGCAGACGATGAAGGTGCTAATGTATTTACTCCTACAAGCATGGACACATTTAGTTCTGAAGGTATGCCAACTATTAGTTGTAGATGGTATTATTATGTTTAATAATGTGTTTACATGACAATGTGGTTTTAGGAATTATTGTTATGATTCAATGGTTGGAAATATTTTAAGTGTACGAAGCTGTTTCATGTTGCACTTTTATGTTATGTATAAATGCTACTGCTAATATAATGTGTTTTAATAGGTAAAACGATGCCTAAGAAGGGAAAGGAAGTGGCTGATGGGCCGACTAGGGAGAATGTTCATTGGACGGAAGAAATGGATAATGAGTTGCTGGATTGCTTACTTACTGAGCAGCGCAAGGGAAATAGACAGGAGGGACAGCTCACCGCGCATGCTTTGACCAATGTCGTTTATGCTTTGCTGACTAAGTTCCCGAGCATAAGACTTGACAAGGACAAGGTTAAGAATAGACAAAAGACATTGAAAAAACACTTTGCAGATGTTAAAGACCTTTTCCATAACATGAGTGGGTTTGCGTGGAATCCTGAAACCAAGCTTTTTGAAGCCGAACGTGAAGTGTGGGAGCGTCTATGTGAGGTATTTTCCTTGAAAATTAAACTTCTATCCTATGTAATGTTATCATAATTCTTAGATATGACTTTGTTCCTATGTAGGAAAAGCCAAATGCTAAACAATGGATCAGGAAACCAATTAACAACTATGATAAGTTGTTTGAGCTATATGGTGAACATAGAGCAATGGGAAATGGAGCTGCCAGTGCTTTTGAGAAACTTGACCGTTGGAATATGCGGGCTCCAACATCTGACATCAACTTGGCTGATCTTCCTGAAAACCTGGAGGATGTAGATGATGAAGGTGCTACTACTTTTACTCCTACAGGCACGCATGCATTTAGTCCTGAAGGTATGCCTACTATTAGCTCTGAGCGTTCACCATCAATTAACTCCCAAGGCACTTCATCGAGAGGAATTAAAAGGAAAGCTCCTATGGGAAATTTGATGCTTGATAAAATTGATGAAATGAGAAGTAATATTGCGAGCATGGTACAAGCAATTGAGCAGGGGAATTTGATTGCTGAACGCTCCGCACGAGCAATGGAGAAAGGCAACGAGATTAAGGAAAAGTCACTGATGATTCTTGAACATCAAAAGGCTCATGTTTATAAGGAGGCAGAAATTTATGCTGAACTGATTCGCCTTAATGTTCCCCAGCATAAGGTGATGCTAGCTTACAGGAACTTTGCAAGAAGCCAGGAAAACACAAGACTTTTGTTTGGCTTACCAGAGGATAGGCGACTTCAATTTGTGGAGATGGCACTACTCTGGAGCACTAATATGTGAAGTGAACTTCAAGTTCAATTTCATTTTGGTCATCATCTTAAATACTAGATGATAGTATGAGAACATCGGATGTAGCTGTAAATTGTAATTTGGTTATGTTTGTTTTCCAATCGATATTGCTATTAGTAGGCCTTTTGGGGTTAACTAGTTGACAATTGTATAACCAACTAACCTGGTTAGAATATAATCTTTAATCGAACTGATTTGTAGCTCTAAGGATTAACATTGTATTATAATATTGAAAATGTATTGTACGTATGTAAGTTGAGTCAACCCATATATATATAAAAATTTTGCCACATCAGCCATCTGAAACCAGATTTTCTTATTGATAATAGTGATGATTAGGGCTGGAAAAATAGACCAGACCATTAGAAAAACCGTGGTCCAAACCGTACCGTACAGTTTGGTCCGGACCGTAGACCGTTAAGTATGGTCTGGTCTGGTCCATGGTCTGTACTATCTTATATTTTGATCTCTTGGTCTAGTCTGGTCTAGACCGCGGTTTACCGGACCAAACCGTGGACCCAACTGACTTGTAAATACGTGTTAACAGCCCATTCGACCACTCTCCCAACTCCCAAAATGACACCCAAGTCTCAATCTTTGTTTTGTGAATCTCGTCCCTCCTTAATTCACAACCACATTTAACTAGAGAGTAGAGATAATCGTGTCTCCATATGACATTATGTTAATGGTTATGACGTTATGGTGCAAGTTGGGATGCTTTTACTTTGTATCTTTGGTATGTACTAAGATTTAGAGTATCAAAATTATTCATGCATGTTAGGATTAGGGATGGCAACCAAACCCGAACCCACGGGTACCCACCCGACCCAACCCGGTCAACGCGGGTAAAATCCGTGTTGACGGGTTTTGGGTCGGGTTTGGGTTTAAACCCGTTCACTATTCATCGGGTTGGGTTGGGTTTGGGTTTAGGTAAACCCGACCCGTGTGTACCCGCCCACACATATAATTAATTTTCTCGGTATATTTAATATTTTAAACAACTAATCTTATTTATGTTTGTGGAGACATGTCTAACTTTTTCTTTCTAATTGTGTAGAATGAAGTTTGTGTTATCGAGTGGAGAGTGAAGAAACTTAATTGAAAGGAAGAAGCCTTCAATTAATATGTTATTTATGGATAATTTATGATTTACTTCAATTTTCTTGAGTTTTCTAGATTGGTGTTGAACAATTAGTATAGTTAATTTGTGATTTGCTTGAATTTTCTAGAATGGTGTTTTAAATATGGATAATTTGTATTGAGAGATTGATATTTGACTTTAATTTTGATAGGAACATGTTACTGTAAATTTTTTACGACAAAAACCCTTGGGTACCCATGAACCCGCGGATACCCAGCGGGTTGGGTTGGGTTTGAGTTTTTCAAACCCAGTGGGTTTTACCCCGGGTTTTTTTCACGAATAAACCCATGGGTTTGGGTTTGGCAAAACCCGACCCAATCCGACCCATTGCCATCCCTAGTTAGGATTAATGATTTAAGGCAAATAACAATTATTTTTCCTGGTTATTGGTTCAATTTTTTGTGTGGTTGACTAAACAAATTATTCATTTTTCGTTGAGTGTGGTCTATCTGGACCAGACCAGACCGAACCAGACCGCACAGGCGTGGTCTGGACCGAACCGTATAGTCTGTGGTCTGGTCTGTGGTCTATACTTTAGCCTCTCGGTCTGGACCATAGACCGTATAGCTGGTCTGGTCTGGACCAGACCGCACCGTTTCCCAGCCCTAGTGATGATATTAATGATAGTGACTAGGGGTGTTCAAACGGTTTGGTTATCATGGTAACCGTTTTAACCGGTACTATTTGGATAATTTGGTTTGGTTAATTTTGGATAATTGGTTTGGTTTGGTTAAAGTTTTTAGCTTGTTTGGTTTAGGTGGTTTGGTTTGGTTTCAGATAATCCTAACCAGTCAAACCAAATTAACCAGTTAAGTAATTAGTCATATATCTAACATATATTATATACACATACTTAATACTTTGCATAACCACTCAAGAGTTAACGTTCATCCCTTTTAGACTCATAAAATATAAAGTTCAATATTGCTCATACAGTGTATATTTGTATATGTAAAATGTAGACCACAACATATGGACGCCTAATTTAGATAAATTTCATACATTATGATGGATGGAAACTTGAAAGGAAGGTCATTTCCAGCCTATGATAATTGTTAAGAGACTAAGTCAATTTACACAAACACAACAATTCATTAACCCATACCATTGTCATAAATTTTTGTTAGGTGAATACTTCTATACTAATCGTAAGATAATTGTCTTAGTTCCATGTATTTTTGTTAAGGGTCAACTATAACTACGTGTTGGTTGTTATGTTTTATTCATTATATAAATTGTGAATTGTTGCATTAACCGGAAAATTTTCATCGTCAATGATAATGTGATTTTATATTGGTTAATCTGGTTAACCAATTAACCAAACCGATTAAACTTTAGTTTGGTTAATTTGGTTGTTGTATTAGTTTGGACGGTTTGGTTATGATATTGTATTCCATGGTTAATAAAATTTAGCCTTATTTGATTTTGTTATAACCATGATAACCATTTGAACACCCCTAAATTAGTGACAATTTTTTTTTCCAAAGAAACCAGCCCTTATTTTCTGGAAGGGCATTAACGTCAGCTCCACAGATTTAATACTCCCGAACTCCTGTCCGGGTCCGGCTGTAGTTTTTTCATTTTTGGCCCACTAAAAGTTAAACCCAACGATGCTACTTCTTTTGGGCAGGTAATTTCTCCCATTGAATTGGTAAGAATTGCCCTAATAAAAACTAGCATGGACTGCCCATTGGACATATAATTTTATTTTTCAATTTGACAAAAATGCTATATATACAAATATATTTATTTTATGTTGTGTTCTTAATTATAGATTTTTTGTCAGATTTATGGATCTTTGATGGAATTTAAATTATTTATGGATACTATTCTACTGATATTTATTTTAATATTATTGATAAGCTACCCATCGTTTTATGTTCAAGATTAGAGAATTAAATAATGTTTTAGTCGTAGATAAAAATTATGGAAATTTTAAATACAAGTTTATACTAAACTATAGAGTCGAGATTACAATATTGGAATTCACAATTATGGAGAGCAGCACATATTGACGCTTACATACATGGTTGTCAAACAACGATCATGACTGAGAAAGAAAGGTGGACAGGAGAGAGAACTAAGAATAAAATGTTGGTAAATAGTATAAGATCGATAATTGAACATCTCACAATAATTTAATATTATCAATAAGCCACCCATCAATTTATATTCAACGAGAATTAAGTAAAGTTTGAGTTATAGATTAAATGAAGGGAATTTTACTAGACATAAGAATTGAGATTACAATATTAGAGTTCACAATCACAGGGTGCAAGCGCATATTAATGCTTACATTCATGGTTGTCATGCAACGATCATGACTGAGAAAGAGAGGTGGAGAAGGCTTAATAGAGAAGGGAGAAGAATGAAGTGTTGATAAATAGTATAAGACCGATTATTGAACGTCTCTCGATAAGTTACTATTATTGATAAGCCACTCATCAATTTATGTTCTACATCAGAGAATCAAATAAACTTTGAGTGGCAGATTAAATGAAGGGAATTTTGATTACAACTCTATACTAAACTTATGAGTTGAGATTACAATATTAGAGTTCACCATCATTGCGCGCACACATATTGATTGTACATTCATGGTTGTCAAACAACGATCGTGACTGATAAAGAGAGTTGGAGAGGGCTTGAGAGAGAGAAGGGAGAAGAAAAGAGTGTTGGTAAATGATATAAGATCGATAATTGAACAACTCTCAATATCTCAACTTATTGAGACTAATTACTAATTAGTTTTAGACATGGAGAAGAGAAAGAGAGATATGGAGAGGGAGAGGAAGAACTTGAAGGGTCACTAAGAGTAAGAGAGCAATGAAAAGAGTGAATTGAGGATCTGGGTCAGGTGGTTGTGAACATTAGATAAAATTCTAACTTTATTATATGTTCAATGAGAACATATAAATTATGCTTAGAAATATATATTATATTCCAAATATTAAAATCTTAAATTTTTGCCTTACATTATGCTTATAATATGTCAAAAGCATATTAAATATATTAAAAATCGGTCAGTCCATTAAACCTTAAAATTACTTACTTGATTAACTTAATAGTTTAAATTGATTGACAACTTTGTTTACATTAAACCTATCAGCATGCTAACGAACCTAATCCGACCAACTAGTCGGACAAAATGCTCGGTAATTATTTGTTGTCCGTTTAACAAGAAGATTTTAGTTAATTTGGTCTAATCTTGATTATCAAAGATGGGAGAAAATTATACAATTTACACGTGGGGGTATTTAAGTAACTTAACTTTCAATTGATAATAAAAATACACTTAGCCAAGGCCATTGATAGATGGGCCTTACGGTGCCCCTGCACAAGACTACAAGATATATGATGTCTTGTTACCGTCGGGGAATTGGGGCAACCCCTTTCATCAACATTCTCAAAGACTTCCATAAAAAAAAAAAAAAACATTCTCAAAGACTTGTGTAACTTATGGGATCAAAGGGTAAACAAGATTTAGTTTGGGGACTTTGTAATTAGAAATACATATAAAAAGAAGGGGATTGCTATTCGTCGCCCTAAAAATTCTTATTCGTCGCCCTAATTATATTAAATTTACTTTAATGTCCCTAGTTTATTTTGTTTGTTTTTCAAACAATTAAACCCTAAAATAAACAAATACACCCACTAGTTGCCGGAGCCGGCCACCTCATCAGAGGCATAATCATAGACGTTATCACTATATGAAGAAAGAAGAAGAGCAGAAGATGATCACATATTAGTTTACCAAATGCATATAATCACCAACAACTTCTGTATAGCATGAGTCCTTCAACCCCCACCAAAAACAGACAAACAGATAGAATTAGTAAACAAAATATTG